ATCTAGAACTTGGTTTTCAAATTTGAGTTATACTTTGATATCTTTAATTTTCATTTTAATTATATTTTAAGAGTTTGATGATATCTAGATGTTTAATTTTTTTTCAGCATTGGTTCCTTTTGTTACTTGGTTTGTGAAATTTAATAAAGTCATTCCTCGCTAAGAGGGTATTTAAGAAAATTTATTAAGGTGTATTTGACTTCTAATTTTTATTAACAAGCATCATGGTTTCATTGATAAATCATGAATACAATTAATTAAATAAATTTGACGTATATTTGTTAGTATTGTTGCATAATTTTTTTAGTTATATTACTTTATTCGTTAATTCTATTACATAATTTGTTTATAACTTTTTTAATAATAAATGATTTTTTTGGGGTTAACCTCGCATTTGGTCCCCGTATATTTTGAACTTTTTTGATTAAGACCTTCTATAATTTTTCAATTTGATTGAAATATTTTACTCTTAAAAATTTATTGATTTCGATCCTCCATTATCTATTCATCTAACGTGACACATTAAAATTAATAGTAACCAATCATAAATAAACATGAGTCATAATTGGTCCTAAATAACAATGTTTTGGTCCGAAAAATAAAAAAGCAAAAAGGTTTTTATTATTAAATTAATATTTTATTATTTAAAAATGATTAAAAATACAACATTGCCCCTACTTATTATTGAACCGGACTTACATTTTTTTCTTCACATATTTCTAAAAATGGATCAAAACACAAACTTTCTTTTCTTATTAGGTATACCGAGCTTTGCACCTCGAGATTCATTATAGCTTGTAGATACATTAGAAACAAATTTAAATACTTCATCGACTTTCATAGTTTTATTCTTATTAAGATGGAGCAACACAATTATTTCTTATATTGCATCTTTATCTGCGAACGCTTCAATTTAAGAACATAGAAATAGTCTCCTTTACGTTTGGTTTCATCTAAAGCTTCACATCAAATGAAAAGCCAAAATATTAAAGTTTCAAAAGATTTAAACAAATGATATAGAATACATGATCTCCCACTTTTTCGGTAGTCAAACGAAAAAGAGAAAGAAAGTTTGCATTGAATTTCTTTAATTTTCTCATCAACCAAACGTCCCAAATTTAAAATCGAAAAGCTATTTGATTACAAAACTCCAAAACCAAAATTTGAGTTCAAAAAACAAACATTTATAAGTAGAAACTTTAGTTTAAATTCCACTAATTAACATATGAAACAAATGCATATAAATCGAACCTCAACTAAACATAGATTAACAATTATCAACTCTAAATCCTTAATTAATCACAAAATATAATATAAGGGAATTGGATCAAAAAATTCGAGTTGGATTTAGGTGAATCGACAATTGGAGTTGAGAAATTTTCACCAATTGTCGATCATAAATGAGAAAATAGGATGAAGAGTCATATATATCGTAAATTTCATCCTTCAATGACAAAATAGATGAAAAAATAGGGTTTTTTTTTTTATTATCTTTTGTTTTGATTGAGAAATAAGAAGAGAGAGAATAAGAGAAAGAGAGGTTTCTTTATTTGATCTAATTATGGTACGAGAGGCAATGATGTATTTTTTTTTTTTTTAAGTACTAACCATTAGTTTTATAATAAAAAAACATGCCAAAGAGCTTGTAGCCTAGTGATTGTGATCTTTTGTAATAAGAGGTCACGAGTTCAAATCTTAGTATACTAGTTCTGCTAAAAGCATTAAGTGTGTGAGTTAAAAAATAATAAAAAAAAATTTAATTTTGAACGAAAATTATGAGAGTTGAGACCCATTATACTATGCATCTATTTGTGAGTGGTCACAATTAAATTTAACGTACCACGTCAAATGAACAATTGACGAAATTAATGGTCCGAATCAATAAATTTTTAAGAGTTGACGGTTTTAATCAAGCTGAAAATTTGTAAAGTGTTTCAACTAAAAAAATTATAATAATACAAGAACTAAATGTAAGATAAACCTTTTTTTTAAACATAACTTGTTGATTTTAATTATCTCATTTCTTATTCTATGATAATACATGTTTTTCCGGTGTATGTGACTTGTTGATTTTGACATATGATTCATATTTGCACACAACACTAATATTATATGCAATCATGTAACCAAAAACACTTGAGCAATTAACATTTCAAATGCTAAAATAATAAAAGAATTTAAATTTTGAGGTAATTTACAACTAGTGGAAGCAATCGAAGCAAATGACCTAATTGTACTTAAAGGAGAGTGTATAAACACCATTAAAGTAAGAAATGAATTTAATTTGTAATTTCACAAATTTGAATAGGAGTATTTTTTGACCTTCATCCGAATGTATTCAAATCAAAGGATAAGGAGGTTTTTACTAGTTTCAAGATTTTTTTGAAGAAAAAATATTTTTTGAAGTAATATGTTGGATATTTTGTAAATCCATTCAAATTGAATCATACAATTATGCCAAAATCAAAAGCAATCAATTTTTTTTTTGGGTAAAATTGGGTATCCAAATCTCTTTCTTTTGTTGATTTCTAACTCATATTCAATAAAAATCACCGAATAATATATCTAGAGAGAGTTCACAAAAAAAAAAAAAAAGTAATATAAAAGTTTTAGTTTCATTGAAATTACTCAAAACCTTGCAAATTTGAATTCAACCTATCTTATTGAAAATCACAATTAAAAAGTTTCAAAGAAAAATATGCAATATGGATAAAAAATTAAAGCTCACACCCTAGGATCCAAAGGTTCTAACACTCTAAAGAAAAATATTTTTCGAATTGACGGTGTGCTTGATAACCTATTTAAGTAGTTTAAAAAATTAAGTTATCATACTTAATATAAAAAATTTATTTGATAATCTAAATAAGCTTACATTTAAGATTTAAATTCACTCAAAATTTATGTAATTAGGTAAGTTAAAATTTTGAACTTAAAACTTTTTTATTAACGTGATCAATTCAAAAGTTTTTAAAATTTTTTAGATACGACTATACAGCCTCCATATATTTTTATTACCCTAGACAACCATCACTTTTGATAACAGCAACTCCATCTCTAACCAAGGCCTCCCCTGTTTTACAGCTAAAGAAAGCACCGAACTTTTTACAAGGCAACAAAAGCCTCCATCAAAGTTTAAATCTTTTTTATCAGTTCTTATCTTCTTGGTTGCTTCATTTCTCTACATTAATAACTGGGTCTTGGTCATTCTCTTAAGCAAAATCCACCACCTACCCACCACAAGATAAAATATGATGGAATGGTTTTTTGGAAGTGGTATTGATGATTTTGTGGTCCCCAAAGATCAAGAATTATATGATAGGCTTCCATCACCAGAGAGTTGCGGTTGAAATGGTGTAAAAGTGCATCAGAAAGTCATGAGTTTTGTAAAATGGATTCTAAAATGACCGACGGAGATCTCAAATTCTATGGTGAAATTTTAAGAAATTAAGTTGAAAGTTTATGCAATGGTAAAAATCACTCTAGTGGTTCATGCACAAGTAGAGGATTGTCATAGGAGTCCCTTCCCCAGACCGCTCTTTCACGTGACCAACCAGATTACCAGCTTGACAATCTTGCAAATCGAATAATTAGTGCTTCCATTTTTATTTATTTATAAACACACACACATATATATAATTATAAAATTTAAATTATCATGTATATAATCTTAATAGATTCAATAATAATATCTATTAAATAATTTTATTATATTCAATACTTAATTTTAGTAAATATCAAATAGTTTATCAACAACATATTTTATACTTAATCATTCAACATTTAAAATTAAATACTTAAATAGATTCATTAATTAATTTTATCTTTATCAAACATCATGTGATTATAATTTTGATTGAAAGTTTTTTGGAACAATTTTTCCTTTTTCTCTCTTCTCTTTGCCGTACAGTATTATCTACTCTCCATCGTTTCTTTTTCCACGTGTCGATAGTTCATTAGCACAATAGTATTTCTGTTATTTTCAGGAATACGGATTCTGGGAACCGTACATTTCCATTCCCTTCTTCACGCGCTCCATTGCAGCATTCAAATGACCTTGTACCTTTTCTTGCCACATGGGACGTTGTCAACACTATTTATTGACAACTTGTTGTCAACCAATCCCAACGGCTTTAAACTTTAATGTTTCTGAACATTTTTCGGCCAAGTCAAATTCCAGTTTAGAAATGCCTATTTGACAACGAGGTTTTCGGAATTAATAGAATTCCAAAAGGTAGAATATAGTGAACTCCAGCCTACCAAGCAACCCAATAATTTCGCTCGAGTAGACATTGAGGCGGGTGGTAAAGCACTTAAAATATTCTTAAGAACTGGAATTACACTTACCAAACAAATTCTAGCAAATTAGTCTGTTAGAAGCCACTAGTCTGCTAGAAGCCTTATGTTCATGTTAAAAAAAAAAAAAAAAAACTATGTGCACGAGTTGGGAAAAAAATAAAATTGGAATTACACCACATCCAACTATCCAAGGAAAAAAAAAAAAACTTCTTTCATGTTTTCTATTTTGAGTAAATTAGTCCCTTTAGTTTTTAAAAATAAATTAATTAATCTCTTTCATTTTAAAAAATTAATTATTTAATCCTTGTATTTTTAAATCTACTTGTAATTGAATATTTTTTGCTCTTTTTTAATTTATTTAAAATTTTTGTTTTAAGAAATAGAGAGAAAAAAATAGAGAACCATATAGAAAGATTGACGAGAAAAGAAAGCATTTTGTGAAATAAAAATAATGTTAAATCAAGTATGATCAACACTAGTTAAGGAACTAAATAATAATTTTAAAATAAAAGAAACTAAGTGATTCTTTCTTAAAACTAGAGGGACTAATTTATAATTTACTCTTTCTATTTCTTGAATTTAAACTAGGCTCCTTTATTTGCTTTAAAGTTCTGGACCTTGCGGAAAACTTGTGCCCTGTCCTGCGATTATACTAAATGACTTTCTCAAACGATGAACCAGGGAAAACCTGGGATGAGCTTCAACTATGCTCCTATGACACAGTACTGGGTCCACAGTCCACTTCCCCACCAAAAAGCGTACAGAATTGCTTCAACCACAGTGGCTGTTAAAAAAACTAAATGGATTAGAATCCACGGTAGATAAGGACAACCAAGTAACCGATGTATTAACTTCTATGACTGACAGAAGAGGAACACACACGTTGATATTGGATTCTTTAAGCTCATTGCGTCACCTATATCTAATTTCTTGTTGCAAAAACAAATCGATCAATATTCGTTTTCGCTAGAAAGAGAAGGTTGGTACTTGGTACTTGGCACTGTATGTCTACTTGCACAGCATCACTATGCTCTACTACTGAATTTTGCAAAATCTCACCGGACATTAATTAGTTTGATGCTCCTTCGAATTGATCTCGCAGCAACTCGTACTTCTTAAGTTCTGCCATGGAAAGGGAGGGAGGCAGTTCCACCAACACCTGAAAGGAGGTCGCATTTAGTAAAACAAAAAAGATAAAAAGGCAGCGTTGAGCCAAAAAAACTAAAAGCTAAATATTTAGTTGTACGATGAACGGCGGGGTTATTTATAGATTCGACCATCCACCAATCAGACTATAACATATCGCAAGCAATTGATATGATTAGCTTCCAATGTCCAGAAACATTTGAAGCGCACAAGATAATGTCATGCAAATTAATACCACATGAATATGAAAGGCTTATTTCATGAAAAAAGCTAAAATACAAAATAATGCACTGAAACTAAGAATTTTCTTCAAACGGTATTTAACTTTAACACATTTGATTTCTACCCCCTCAACTAATTTTTTTCTGGAATTAAGTTGTTTTGTGAGTTCACCGTCCAGACTCTTAAAAAAAAACTGATATGACTGATGCAATGGCATGATTTATCAGCCGCATTAACTTTTGCCGTTAGTTTGACTTTGTGGATACAAATTCGAAAAACTAACAAAGGAGTTGGTTCAAAAAAAAAAAAACAAAAAAACAAATAGGGGGTATAAAATCAAATATTTTTAAAGTTAAGGGACCACTTTAAGAACACCTAAAAATTAGTGGGTGATTTAAGTTTTCGCCTAATAAACATCAGTACTTAGGCAACTCAATGCAACTTGCACGGTTGATTAGTCTTTAAGTTCACAGGGATGTACAATTATATAAATGGATACAAATCTTACAGTTTACCCTATTAGCATTAGATGGTAAATAATTGCAACTTCCTTTGTAACTCAAATGCCATATACCTTAATGAAATCATTATACTCCACAACAACAGAGTCAGCTTGATCGACAGTGGATGAAGATTCTGAATCTGAACTCATAACCTGAGTAATGGAAATGACACAAGCACCTCTTCAGATGAGCAGAAACACAGGGAAGTTTAGTGAGGGAGAAAATATTAACTAAACCCAGGGGGGAAAAATCACAATATATACCATTTTTCAAAAGACAGTAATACAAACAACAAATGCATCAGCAATGCACTTCTGCCCTGCAGTCCGAAGATCTGCAGAGACATTGACTACTTCCATGCATAGTTCAGACATGACCTACCCACCTTTCGCTTTGCAGCGTGAAACCAAGCATCTGCACACAAGGCATACATGTCTGCTCCAGTGAAATTTGGGGGGCATTTCTTAGCTATTGAGTAAAGAGAGACATCTTGGTGCAGCACAAACTTCCGGGTAAGCGCTTTAAGGACCCTGGAAAGGAAAGAAATTGGTAAGCCCAAGGATGAGTGCATGACATCAAAGACAAATTCTCAAAATTGGAAGATCACTAACCGCTCCCTATAAGATGCATCTGAGTTAACTCCAACATACAGCAGCTTATCGAATCGGCCAGGCCGGAGAAGTGCTGGATCAATAAGATCTGGTCTGTTGCTTGCCCCTATGATAAATAGGTCCTTAAACAATCACAAAGAAACAAGGAATTTTATCTTTTAAATTAGAAGGGGAAAAAAAAAACTATGGTAAAAGGGCCACAAGTCCATTACCTGTGTAGAATCATTTAGGCCATCAATCTCTGCAAGCATCTAAAGGAGAGGAAAATTTACCACATTAAGTTTTTTTTTTTTTTTTTTTTTTAAATCTGCCTAAACCAGAAAAATATCTTCACCTGAGAAACCACTCTGTCCATAACACCCCCAGAATCTCCTGAGGCACCCCTAGCTGGAGCAAGAGAATCAAGTTCATCAAAGAATATAACACACGGGCGTGCTGATCTGGCCTGCAAAGAATGTGCTATGAACAAATTGTACGTAAAAGCAAAATCTCTTCCAAAATGAAAGTCATGCAGAGTATAAATACATAAACTAACATTCTGATCAGGTACTGGTTCAAAGAGGAAAACTATTCTTACCTTCTGGAAAATGTCTCGGACATTTTTCTCTGACTCACCGATGTACATGTTGATCAGTTCAGGCCCTTTCACACTTAGAAAATTTAAGGAACACTCTGTTGCAACAGCTTTTGCCAACAAAGTCTGAGCTTCAAAATAAAGATAACAGGAAAGGAGTTATGAAGCAACGTTTTATTTTTGGATAACGATATTGCAATTTACTATGTTGGAACTCACTTTCCCTGTTCCAGGAGGACCATATAGAAGAACACCAGACCGCTTGCGCAACCCAGATGAAAACAACTCCTTATGCAATAGAGGTAACTGCAGATACAGCAGAGAGAAACAATATGATTCTGATACAAAAGAAAGCACAAACTACTAGCTGGCAGCTCCAGTTATAAAATTTCATAAGACAGTTGAGCAATTTACAAGTATTGGTGGCTGACAAAAAAAAAAAAAAAAAAACCAAGTGGCAGACAGTATGATTTGCAAACCATAATGCATTCCCCAAGTTACAAATTGAAATAAAGGCTTAAGACAACTTAATAGCTAGATTCCTTAATGTCATCAATATGTCAGTTCATTCTTCAAACTTTTTAACCCCTTCCTGACACAGACTCTGTAAAGAAATAGTTAACTTCATTTCATTTCTATAAAATGTAACAGAACCTGGGATAGAATCTCTAGTGGGATTCAAAGGTGATGGTGGTGATAAGGATGGGAGAGCCATTTCTCAATGTGTATCTCAGCCATTGGACTAAAGAAACATAGATTACATACTGACCATTATCATCAATTTGTCCAATGTACTACTAAACAAAATAACGCAGATCTTAGAAATGGTCTGACAAGATTGTTTATGTTGTGGATAAAGTGTCCTATTTCTAAAATAAGGTTGAAATTGCAGACTCAAATTTGACACGGATAGAAAATGGAACATTGTGACTGTGAAACTTGTTATAGGTAAGTTTGCTTGAATCATCTTATGCACGGCTTAAACTTCGGAAGAAAGATGGGATGGGTTGAGTTAATAGGAGAATGTTTCAACCAAGAAGCTAATAATTGAAAGAAACTTGAGCACATTGCAATTATGGAGGCCATACAGACAAGTAAGATGTCCACCTGAACAGTATCCAGAATTGATTTCTTCACATCTTCAAGCCCGCCAACATCTTCCCATTTCACATTAGGAACCTGTGACAAATAAATCAATAATCAAACATTGTTGCCACAGAAAATATGACATTCTTTACAAAATTTGAAACCTCTAACATTATGTTTGGGAACAAAATGTGCAAGGATTGAAAATGACAGGAAAGAAAGTTAATGAGAGAGTAATTTACTTCTGTGATATTTGGATGGAAGCAATTTGGAAGGAATGAAAATCAAGAGAAGGTTTAAATCTACAATCGTATCTTTTATTTTGTTTGCAAAGAGAAGCTTAAGAGCAACAGGGTAATTTCCCTCTTCCTCCCTCTTCCTCTCAATCTCTCCATTTTGAGAGCTTGGTTTCTAGTGGGCAAAAAAGGAAAAAGTTTCCCTCCAATTTCTTTCCTCGTATTTTCTCTCCATTTCCCAAACAAGGTAATAACTTTTTGTTCTTAATTTTCTTCACCCCTCATCCCTCCCTCCCAGACACCACCATCCAAGAAAAACTCTTTGCTTGATAAACTGATGATCTAACATCAAGGTTTCAGTCACAACTGTTGAAGTAATTTACCTTTGGAGTACCCAATGCTGTGGCATTCCTCTTCTTAGACCGATCCAAAGCTTTAGCTAAACATTCTTTTTCTACAGCCTGAGGCAGGGCATTAGATGATTCATTCTTTTGCATTGCTTGGACTCTTACAGAACTGTTCAAGTCTTTGGGCTCGTCTTTGTCAACTTGGACATTGCCCTTGGAGACTAAGTTTGAGCCAGCATCAGCAAATAGAGCATGCAAATCTCTAGGCATGAAGCCAGATGTCTGTCCAACCATGTCCTTTATAGCATCTTCTGACCCAGTCTGCAAGAAGCAACTATCTAAATCCATTAAAATCAACATTCGCAACAGAAATAAGTATTAATATCAACATGCATTAATCCTTAAGGACCTTAATCAATGAAAAAGTTAATATTTTTAGCTCAGAGAAACTTGAATGGACAGTAATATAGTCTATGATATTTTTGCAACAAAAAATAAACTTGTAATGCAAAAGCATACAAGAAATGGAAGATTGCAAGTAATTTCAAAATACCCAAAAACACACTGTCAAGCCACAATGTATTGATGGTATGTACAAACAAGAGACTGACTTTTGATGAACATGCTTAGGATTATCGAGGGGAATAATTGTTTATATCATTTACTTGCAACAATTATCTACCAGAAAATATGGAGAAATCACAGAAAATTTTATATTTTCCACATACATTAGGGAGGAGCTTAGAACCACTTTGCAGTGACTGGGACAACATTTCAGCCCTCTGTTCTTCCGTCAAGGGGCCCATACTTATCTCATGGCTGAAGCAACGCCTAACAGTTTGTGGCAGACCCTCAGAACTCTCAGCAACTGCAACTAACAGAACCTGATGCCTAATTTTTCCAGCATCCTTGAAGAGCTGCATCAGCAAGGTACAAGAATAAAAATACTTGACAAACCCTAATGAAGTGCAGGTTTTACTTTCTGGCTTGATATTACTTTAGAATCTTAAAGTGTGAAACTGATAAGTTGAGGGGGTCTGTAAAGTACTTTAGCCACATACAGACACTCTGCGTAGACCAATCATTGTTCTATTAATCTGGCAGGGTCACCATAGATGACGTGTTTATGGCCTGCTAAATCAAACAACAAGAACAAAGCGACACCAAAAAGTTGCAACTTACAAAATAATCATTTGTTTTTTCTCCAGAGTAATTGTCTTCATCTTCAGAGACAGGTTCAGTGAACTCCCTGATAACTGATGCGACTTCAGAAGTGAGGCCAACTTGATCATTTGGTGAACCCTCTTGTGATGTCAAATTCCGAAAGACATCAAAATGGCGAAGAAGAAGAATTGTAGGTGAGTATCTGTCACAAGCCAAACAATGTTGAAAAGCATGCTACATAAAGCGATGGCACCACTGAACTTAGATAAGTAAAAATGACAGCAAAACTGTTGATGTAATCTCATATATTCTGGTGAAAAGACTCTAGTTTAATGGCTCAGTAACACTTCAGTTAAATGGATTGTTAGGACGCCAGATATTGGAAAATGTGGAATTTGAAACTATAGTGGAATAAAACAAAAACTTCATATACTCAGAAAGATGTTGAAGAGGGATTCCAGGAAAAGGCCAGCAGAATGGAGTTTAAAATCTATCACTAATTGGTACCACCAAGATAAAACAAGACTCAAGTATGTCATTGCTCATAAGTCACAGAACAATACACAATTGTCATACCCAACAGAAACTTTTTCACCTTTGAGCTGTGTGGAAAGCTTGAGCTAGTGCAGCTGATGTCTTTCTATCAGAAGATGCTGTAAGACTATGACAGCTGAATTCCACGACATGAATGCCCAAGCGACGAGAAACATGTCTAACAACAGTCCTCTTCCCACACCCTGCAAACGGTGCATGATAAAATCATAACGAAATAGCGTGTCTTTGGCAATTACTGCATGCCAGCAATCAAAGATCTAATAAAGGGGACATTCCTCGAATAAAATAGCGAACAAAGTTTGTAATGCAAAAAAGAATCATGAAGCATGAAACAAACCTGCCAGGCCATATAGTAGGACTGCAACTCTGAATTTGGAAGAAAGTGCTGAAGGACACAATGGAGGTGTGAGTATGGAGGCCAAAATCTTCACTGTGTCCCCTTGCAGGGGCGCAAAACCTTTAGGTCCATCAATCAGAAGATCTGGAGGGACAGCAGAAGGAACAGTCCCTCCCAGCACAAGGGCTGTTTGAGTATGATTGACTCTAAGAACGGCTTCATCTGATGGCTCCATGGCCACAACCTGAGGATATTAATCACCTTCAATTACACCCGTGACTCATTGTCCCATTACCAGGCATTCGTTGCCACCAATCAAAAGATATATAAAAAAAATTACCTTGAAGTAGATGATGTTATCACTTCTATCTTGTGACCTCTGGCTACAAGGAATACAAACAATAGAACTGCAATTCCAATCTATCCGAACACTAAAAATATCACCTCTGGCAAGGCATCTATCAACTTCAAAGTATTTCTGCAATGCCAAATCAATCATCTCCTGACGGTCTTCAGCTTCAATCGAAGAAACTCCTTTCAGAGATTCAAGAGTACCACATTCCGGTATCTTAACAAAAGAAACCCTCAAGTGTGAAGCATATCTCGGCAATCGAGCCAATGGTTCCAACCACACACTGATAGCAGAATCCTCACCGCTAGTACTAACTTCCTCATCAAAACAAGTCTCATCATCCACTTCAAAAAGAGAAGCCAAACTCTCATCTCCTTGGCGTACAAGTGATTTTAGGCATGATATATGCAACCCAAGATTAAAAGCCAAGATAGGAGACAGATAAGCAATTTCGCGGTCTAATAACAAAGAGGGATCAGCAGGAGGAAAAATACAACAAGGAAATAAACGCATAGCAGTACAAGAAACTTGTAGTTTCGAGTCGGATTTCAGCTCATTCTCCTGGTTTATGGGGGGATCTAGAGCAACAACCTGAGCAACTCTTTCTATGTTTGCCTCAACATTCTTGATAAGCGCCTATTATTATCATTATCATTATCATTATCATTATTTGAAAAAAAAAATCATTCAATTAATCAAGGTAATTCTTCTTCTTCTCATATTACCATCAAAGGAAGCTGTGTTCAGTAATTACCAGTGAAGAAGAAGTAATCGAGAGTCTCTTGAGAATGGAAGTGGAAATGGCAAGGAGAACAGAATCATCGAAAGAAGAAGCTAGTTTGACCTTGGATAATCGGAGAATTCCTGCTGGTAGCTGTAAGTTCGGTGACGGGGAGACGTTGTCTGCTGTGAGTGGGAGAAGGTTTTGTTCACTATTAATGCTACTGAGTGGAGAGGAACTGAGGACGGAATCGATGAGGATTTTGGTGGAGGAGAGGATTAGAGGCTTTCTCCTTCTCTCCACCATTTCTAAGGATATAAACCCTAGCAGTCTTCCTACCTATAATTTTTTTCTCTCTGAAATGTGAGAAGAGTTTGCAGTTTGTTGGATGAGCCTGCAACGAGCGCAAATCGATGACGATGTGCTGTGCTGCTGGTCTCCCAGCGTCGACGTGATCACCTAACCGTTTCAATGCAAGCAGAACTTCTTGGGCTGGGCTGGATCTCATTAGGAATTGGGTTTAGCCTGTCTAATTATGGATAACCATATTTTTTTCCTTGACTAGAGTCCCACATCGAAAAAAGAGACATCCAGTCAGATCGATATATTGTCGTCGAGAGATACAAGGACAGTGCCGGGCTAAGTCATGCGAGCCTGTGACCCAATGTGGGGGCATTAAAGGTGGATTTGGATGGGTTTGTTTGATTGGGTCTGCGTCAGCGAGGCTAGTCGGCCGTTACTGGCTTGCTCACTGCGCGGGTGAGTTGAGAGGCATGAGGCATATGGTGCTGCGTCGTAACATTTGTCTGTGAGATTCCTTCTCCGACGGGAGGAGATGATAAATAAAAACTTGCTGGCTTCTCAGAGCAGCAAGGATGCTTTCTTCCGCGCAGTGGGACAACAAGCCAGTACCTTGCTGGTCCAGGCACTGAGGCCAGCAAACCTGCACCTCCATCTTTTTTTGCCAATTCTCTCTTTTTTATTATGATCAGAGCAGAGAGAGCAAAAAAGGCAAGAGGGGCCCAGTCTTTTTCGAAAAAGGAATCAAAGCAATCTATTTAACTTTAAAAAATGAAATCAAGTCCTAAAAACATCACGTCACTTTAAAAACCATTTAAGTTTTCTTCTCCTTTGTATTTGACTGAAGCAAATTTTGAAAAATACAACGTGACTTGTCCAGGACCAAATTTCAAGACTTGAACGTTTTTGTTAATGTTACTCGCATAAAAATTCAATTTAAGATGCCAATTGATTTTTAATTAATTACAAACGTGTAATTCAATTTTGAACTAAATTCAGATGAAAACAGAAAAGTTTATTTAGTTCTTTTATGCCCACTATAACTATCTATTTCAATTTTATATTAGTAGCTTTTAACTATATATAACTTTAGTTTTTATTTATTAATCTGAAATTAACTGAATGAACAAATAAATAAAAAAACTCTTTGTAATTTAATTAAGTATCAAGAATTACTTCGCCTCTAAGCAACACAATAACAAAAAATCAATTAAAATTAGCCATATCAAATCATAAAATTAATGATATTGTTTATATCACATTATTAAAGCTAATCAAGGCAACGGACCATCATACTTAACGGTGGCAGCTTATTAAAAATCTCTCCTTACCTATTTCAAGCAAATGAGCTTGAAAGAACCCACTCCTACACTTTTATTTGGCAGCAGTTTTGTACGAAAGAACTTGACGTGATAAGAAACTCGAAGGTGTCCAATATTGTTATGTTATGAGCTTCCACGATAAAGTGATCATAAATTTAAATCTCATAATTTTCATCTTATTTTTATTTGTTATTATAATGAGCTTCAACGTTAATTTATATAAATTGCAAACTCAAATGAGTTTTAATTTAAAAATTGTATTAGAGAATCATATTTTAAAGAGTCTTACTTGACTCGATTATATTAATTTTTGTATTTTATTACAGGAATTTTTTTTAGTTAAAACAGCAAATCTCTATATTTTTTTAACTATCCTTAATTTTTGGGATTTTCTAAGATAAAACAATAATCCTTAATTTCCTTACACATATAAAATTAAAATCCCTAGTTTTATCTTGAGGAGGCGTATTGGAAAGTTAAAACAATAAATCTTTAATTTTTGGGATTTTCTAAGACAAAACAATAATCCTTAATTTCTTTACACATACAAGATTAAAATCCTTATTTTGATGTGAATAAGAAGATGGTTGGTTTAATATTTTATTAGTATTAAAATCTTTTTATTTCTAGATGTTTATCATTTATCCTGTGTTGGACTATTTTAATTCTCAAGTTAATTTTCTTTTAGATATTTAGTATTTAAAAATGATCTAACTTTGTAATTTATTTCTAGACACTCGACTGATACTGAAAATTTTCGTAACGATATCAAAACCTTACAATATTATTAAGTAAAATAAGTTATAAATTAGTCATTCTGTTTTTATGAACCAATAAATCAATCTCTTTTCTTTCAAAACTAATTATTTGAAAACCAATTTGTTTAACAAGTAAGTGAACTTTGACGGCCTGGTATTGATTTGACTAACAGCTTTCTGTTGTTTTTCTTTTTTTTTTGGAGTCGTTTGAATCAGTAAGGAGCTGGCTAATAGAAATAGAATGACTGGTTAGGAAACCAAAGCTGTTCCCTCAATAGTCATAGTCATGTCAAAGGCGATTAAAGTCCCAACAGGCCAATGCGAACAGTGGGACACAAGAAAGGTACTGCTTATCCACCTTTCACCGAGGCCAAAGGAGCATGACCAATCCATTAAATACATACTAATATTTAGTTTTTCAAAAAAAGAAAAAGATCTATGCTAATTGCTACGACATTTACTGTCTTTTGATGAAAAGACTTCTCTTACAGTATAATATATAGTGATAGTAGAATTGAACTAGGGACACTCCTCTTTACCGAGTGTTTTTGCACTTCACATTCTGGAAGGGAAGTGGAAAAAGGTGATTACTCTTTGCTTCTCGCTTCAGGTACCAAAAATCTTCTCATTTATCAAGTTTGCTTGTTTTGACTGTTCACAGTCTCGGCGAAGTGTATTCCTCGAGCAAGACTTCAAGAAGAAGAAAACATCGTTTTCTTGATTGGAATCGTGGGTGTTTGAAATTTTGAACTAATCAAAGTCTTCTTCTTGCTATGAGGGAAGGGTATTTTAGAAGTTAAACCACATTTTTCTTGGAACTATATGCAGATGACGCCTGCACTTGTTCGTTGCCCTAGTACCTCTATCCTTGCATGTTTTGCTTAATTCTTTTTCAAGCCAGCCTGTGTCCATTGATTTTCTCCATGTCTGAAAAAAACAAATTCTTTTCCAGATTTCTTTTCTACCTAATCACCGTTTGTATGTTCCTTTTGATCCTTTCTTCTGTGTCCCTTGTTCAATTTCCCAATACTCATTTCATTCCCAGATCAGTTTTCAAGATAATTCTTGTTAATAGCACATCACTTTTCTTGAAACCCAATGATATCAAATTTCCCTTCTTTTCTTCTACTGCTACTAATTTGACAATGAGTTGTGGAAGTCTGTCTTGTCCAAACTCCATTGTGGGTACTTCTAGATGCCAAAGAAAGAAAACATGTGGCCGAAATCAAGCTCTCCGAAAGCTAAAGGTATATATGTATGACTTGCCTCCAGAGTTTCACTTTGGATTGTTGGGTTGGAAGGGAAAAGCAAATCAAACCTGGCCAAATGTTGATAGCCATAGTCTTATCCCACCATACCCAGGTGGGTTGAATTTACAGCACAGTGTGGAGTACTGGCTCACCCTTGATCTTTTGGCATCAAACACATCGAAGGTGGGCACTGCACTGAGAGTACAAAATTCGAGTCAGGCAGATATTATTTTTGTGCCATTCTTCTCATCTCTGAGTTACAATCGACATTCTAAACTACATGGAAAGGAGAAAGTTAGTGTTAACAACATGTTGCAGGGTAGATTAGTACAGTTTTTGATGGCTCGGGATGAATGGAAGCGGTTTGGGGGGAAGGATCATTTGATCGTTGCCCACCATCCGAATAGCATGTTACATGCGAGAAAAAAGCTGGGTTCTGCTATGTTCGTGCTTGCAGATTTTGGGAGATACCCAGTTGAAATTGCCAATATCGGGAAAGATATAATTGCTCCTTACAAGCATGTTGTGAGGACCTTTTCGAGTGGTGAATCAGCTCAATTTGACGACCGTCCAATATTAATGCATTTCCAAGGAGCAATATATAGGAAGGACGTAAGTTTCTCTGCCTCCCTCATTTTATTATCAAGTTTTTGGAGCATTCTTTCCGTTATATTGCTTCGAAGATTTAAATTATATTCTAATCTTAATATGGACATGTGATATGGCTGGAGAAAGGAATCTGTAACCAAATCCAGGCGGTTGATATGAATCCTGAACATATAGTAGAATACATTAGTTGCTCAAATTAAATCCATGTAGCTTTTCCAAGGTCTCTGGCTTTCTACTTACTGTGGATGGAAACAGCTCGGCCAAATTTCTCCTATCAGATGATATTGAATGGATTATCTGAAAACACTGTTATCTTTTCCTTATCTTCTTCTAGGTTAAAGTTACCATTTGAATGCAATTGCATTGTGTTTTCAGTATGCATGTCCTCAGATTCATTATCTTGCCGATGAAAATTCTAATTCTTGGTCACGCAGAAGAATATTCCAGATCAAATTCGAAAGGTTATGTAGTTAATTAAAAAACATTTGGAAGATTTTGTAGAGAGTATACATTCCTAATGTACCAGAATGTACATCCATTTGCACAAATCAAAAGCGATCGGTTATTAATTAGGTTATTTCAGTTCTAAGTTCTAACAATATGACTAGTGTTCTGTATCCTGGGAACCATTTCAAAATTAATGCTGCTTTACAATGCTAGAAGATGAGTCTTTCCATCTAGATTTTATTGCATTTGCAATTATGGATTTGAGTCCTTCAAGATTAGATGATGTCCAAATATGATCCAAAAATCATAAACCCATGCGATGATGCATCATTGGCAGCTATCAATGCCATGGTTATTCTTCATAACGTTTGCTGTGCCAGCTTACTTTTTCATATTTTTCTGATCTTATCGGGTCAGTGCTCTTGGGGACTTTCCCCCTATTTTTAATTTTTATAACATTTAATTTCAGAAAGAACTTTTATATGTATTTTTGGTGATTTTTATGTTCACAATGTCAAGTCAAATTGGTATAACATTTTTGAATGTTTTTTCTGTTTAGGGGGAGCTATTCGCCAAGAACTTTACTACCTTCTAAAAGATGAGAAAGATGTACACTTTAAATTTGGAACATATCGAGGGGATGGGATCAATAAAGCAGGCCAAGGGATGGCTTCATCCAAATTTTGTCTAAACATTGCTGGGGATACCCCTTCCTCCAATCGCCTGTTTGATGCCATTGCGAGTCATTGTGTTCCTGTGATTATAAGTGATGACATTGAGCTACCATTTGAAGATGTTCTAGACTACTCAAAATTCTGTGTATTTGTTCGAGCATCCGATGCTGTTAAAAAAGGGTACCTACTGGATCTTCTTCGTGGAATTAAGAAGGACCTTTGGACCAAGTTGTGGGAACGATTAAAGGAAATTGCTCCACATTTTGAATTTCGCTATCCATCCCAGCCTGGTGATGCTGTGGATATGGTTTGGAAGGCTGTGTTACACAAAACATCTTCAGTACAATTTAAACGTAACAGGAAGAACAGATATGTGAGATCAGAGGCTTTGCTGAAGAGAGTTTGACATTAGGAAACGCTACTTCAAAGCTCAAGAAATTTCTTGGTCATGCATCATAGTAGATACATATGGTGTTCAGCTGACTGCAGGTTTTGGGATCAGATTTCAAGCTTGGTTTTTCTGAAGATCTGTAGGGGAAGTTGTTTTCCTGTTCGTTAGTGTTTACTTTGTTATATTCTCTTCTCTGGTGTTGAGTGATCTGTTTACAGGGTGCTCAGGTAAGATGTCACTGTCCCTCTCGTTTCGTGTTGAGTGAACATAAAAGTATAAAACATCAAAAAACAACCTCGTTTCAAGTTATAAATTGAGTTTTCGAAATTGCATTACTAAACTGAATACCAAAGAGATGGAAAAGCACAAATCAAGAGAAGAGTTCATTATGAAGGCACCTTTGAGCCTACAACTTGAGCTGTATGGTATTTATAACAGGAAGAGAAAGACACTCAGCAAATGTGTTAAATATAGAATTAATAAGAGGCCATTATATCTCACATAAATCTCAGACTCTGTGGTATTAATAAGAGGCCATTATATCTCGCGCAGTGGAATATATGAGCAGAATACATTTTAGCAGCCAAGAACATTCTATTTCTTAATGAACTAGGCAGAACTATTAGTGCTCTTGTAAACATAAAAGATGCCGGAAACCAAGCAAAGTTAACAGTTACTAGACAACTGCTTTGATTCAAGGCTAAAAACTGTATGATCTCAGCAATTTATACATGTCCAAATCATACTCCCTCCGGATCCACCTTCCCTTCATACACACTCAATAATTGAGGCAATTCCTTCTCAAATTTGGTCACAAACCTCTCCAGAAAGCGGTTCTCCACAGGAAGCAATACGGTATTCAAGCTGATATCTTTCTTTATCAAACCCTTTGACCACAAAACCTGAATAACCTTACACCTGGGGATAATTCTCTTCTCCAAGCTTAAAAATAAGATAACAGGGCAATGCACAATCTCCTTTGATGGCCACCCCATCTTGTTAACAAAAAAGTCCATTCCCCTCATGATTTTCTTCTCCGATAGCATCATACAATGGGGATGCTTTCGAAATGCTGAAAGAATGTCATCTTTAGTCCAACCCCACCTCTTATAAATCTCAAAACAACGTTCCCAAATTGACCTATTACCCTTTCCACAAAGGGCATGCACAGCCAACACAAAAGTTGATTTCTTTGGATCAAATCCCGTCTTTTTCACTTCCTCTACATTTTCACTGAAGTCTTCATGCGCTTCCATCACAGCCTCAGGGAAATGAGTGAGCAGTAATGAAATGCAAGAATGTGGCACGCCTACTTTTCTCAGAAGCTCAAGATTTGGTATAAGATTCTTTGAATGATCCTCTAGAAATATCCAAGTAGTACGCTTCAAAGCAGAAACAATCTTTTCATCAGAAAGCAAGATAGTTTTGAGAAAGTCATAAGAGGGTATAATTTGGTTCTCCAAGCTTCTAGTTAAAAGGGTTGGGTCTGAAGAAAGAGTTCTAGCAAGGTGAGAACTTGACATTCCTAAAGAGAGAAAGAAGTCAAGTTTAGGCAAAAGGGTATTCGTAGGATGGGCTAAAAGAAGAAATGGGCGCTTTTTAACAAGACTTGAGATCTGGGTTTTGGAGAATCCACGGTTTCTCAAAAGGGCCAAAACGGAGTCTGGTCTTTCAGGGGATTGGAACTGTACCTTTTGGGCTGATGAGATTGCGGATTCCAAGGACAACCCACACGAGTGTACGAGGTAGCTGACAGTAAAAGAGTCTTTCTCTGTTGAGATTTTGCAGCTGATTGGTTTTAGAAGGGGTTGGTTTTGAAAGGAGACATGCGGGAATTTGTTGAATTCTCGCGAGGAGAACAAGTGTCTTTTGGAAGGGAAAAGGGAGGAGATTGATGATGGGTTGTCCAATCTTAAGCAATGGAGATTTTGGATGAGCTCCATGTTAGAATTTTTTGGAGGCTTAAGGAATCAATACCAAGTACTGAGTACTGACTCGCTGCTTGTAATGAATGAGCGTAGCGTCAGTCAAAACCCTCGCTAATCACCAGGGTTTTTCGCCCTTATCGGTATTGGTTTGGCTCTCCACTCTCCAGCCTACTGGGTCTGGGCTGGAGTGGGTCCTATGTTCATGGAAGAGACTAGTCTAGACTCTAGAGTGGAGAGAGAAAACAACAAATACGAATAAATAAATAACAACAACAACAACAATAATAATATGTGGGATAACTCCAACTAGGTCCCAACTAATTTTTTAATTAGGGGTTAATTTCATAGGTTCTATCAATTTCTATTCAAAAGTTTATTATTATTATTATTTTTAATCATTATCTTACTCACGTTTCATCCTTTTATCAACACCATACTTTTATCTACATAAGATAAAATATAAATTATCAGCTCAAGGGGATAATTGATAAGAATAAAATTTCTGATAAGATATTGATAAAACTGTTAAAAAAGTATAATAAAATCCACTTTTTAAGTAATGCTATCCTGAAAGTATCCCACATCTATCAATGTCGCCCCTACTATTAGCTTTAGTTTTTTTTTAAATGCTTTAAGAAGCACGTTCTTGTGGCGTGCCTCATGGAAGATACACTTGATTGGGTGCTAAGAATGAGTCACAATCTCATCTAATTACTATTGTGCGTCTTATTTTCATGTAAATGAGAAAATATTACTTTTAAAATATTTTATGTCTATTTTTATATGTCGGTTTAGACAGAGAAAAAAATAAAAAAGGGAAAAGAAAACAATGGCGGGTCTAACATTGATAAAAGTGGCATTGCTTAAATAGGCAGTTGAGATGTGTAGTTGAAAGTTAAAATCCTGTTGAGCTCAAAAAAAATAAATAAATAAATAAAACCGCGTAAAACTATAAAATATTATTTTCTGGCACGTAGTATTTTCTTCACCCGGATTTTTGCAGAGGTAATAGCATGCACTAAAAAAAAATCCATTTCAAGGATATATAACTTCCCTAGACCCCAGATCTTGAAAATTAATAAATTATATTACTTAAAAGCAATTTATTTTTATTTTAGACAATCTTATTATTGTGCACAATCCGGTTGGAGCATAAAAATATCGCTCTCACTGTCTTTACATTCACAGTCTTTACATCTGTCAATGTTGTCCTTCTCTGTTAGGTCAACACAAGCGATCAAAGATCATATGAAGATCAGCTTGACACAAAAGTCCTATACAATATTGGTATTACATATTATTGTTGTGGCTGGTCCAGAAACATCACTTCAAGACGAACAATTGTACAAAGCCACCTTATTGCAACAAGAAACACCATGGTCTCCATTGTTGCTCACTAAAAAGTTGTATTCTTATACATCACCTACAACTACCATTTTGAAATTCTCCACTGGCCAAGATTTACACCCCAGAGGCAGCTTTCTTGAGAAGCAAGGCTTTAAGAGACGTAGGATCGGTGATTGGGGGACTGCATGTGAAATTTTGACAGACGAGCGCAACCACTTTATCTGCAGCAAAATTATTCCTTGCCATGAGAGCTATATTGCTATTATTGTCGTCCCAAATCTCCATTTCTTCGTTGTTGGTAGGATCTATATGAATTACCTGCAAGTTGGAATAAATTGCATCTCAGAAAATATTTACTTGCAGAGAAATAAAAAGGCGTAGTACAGAGAAAGGAGAAAGGGAGGTCCATGGATTTGATATTATTGTTAAAACTTGAAACCTTTGTACTTACTGTTTTATTGGGCTCATATGATGCATGAGCAGCAGCAAGCATATTATCGAACTCTAAGGATGGCTTGTGGCCAACTAAGACAACTTGCTTGCGGGAAGGCACAGAGATCATGTCTGCTGCACAACACATCAGAGGTACTGCCATAGCCACGTCTTTCAACCTTGACTCAAAAACTGCCTGCATCACCATGGAATAAATTGTTATACAAACACACGAGTACTCGCAGTTGTAAAAACTAATCTTGCCTAAGAAATTCTCCTAAGAGAAGCAACAGCATACCAGAAGGTGCTCAGCATTCTGCCTGTAATACTCAGACTTACTGCCAGTCATCATTGTGGCCAATCTTATGAGATTAATTGCCGAAACTGAATTTCCCGAGGGCTCTGCCCCATCATGGTCTTCCTTTACTCGGAGGAGAACTGAAGGGTCTTCCCCTGGAGTATTGAAATAGCCTCCTCCCTCTAGATCAAGAAATAATTCATCCTGAAAAAATAGCTCTTAACCATATGAGAACAATTAAAAGCAAGAAATTGACTCACTATTCATCTCAGGAAATGAACTCTGATTCTTTTACCTGCTTGTTCTGTAGTTCAGTTGCCCATACTAGCCAATAGATCCCGCCACCAACCTCATAAAGATCCAGCAACCCAGAAATTAGAAATGCATAATCATCTAAAAACCCAGGTGCTTTAGACGGACCATTCCTATAGCTGTGCACTAGCCTGTGCGTTTGTTCATTATAAAGATGCTTTCTGATGAAAGACGCTGCCTTCTCTGCAGTAGTCATGTACTCCTTGGGCTGGAATTCAATGGAAAATGCAGAAGTATTAGTCATTATTAAATAACATAGTCAACTACATACCACATATCATGCCACGAATCAGAAATTCTACACAGCAATTTTCCATGGACCAGTGCTAATGGCTACATATCAAGACTGACAGAGCCCAGCAGACCTGATGCCTAGAGGATAAAATAATCCCAATACTTGATAACATGAATTCCCTAAGAGTCTGATGAACGCATTGCAAAGACCTTCCAGAAACAGGCCCTTGTTTAAAAAAGTGTTCGGAATAAAATGATTTCATGTAGAAGCTTTCCATAAGTCTGGTAAACGAGACTATAAAACTGATTTTTCTTATCATCATGCCATGGTTGAAATGTAGACATGACAAGGAAATGCTTAAGAATAACCAAGATGCAGGAGAATTAGATCAAACTTGGCTTCGGAAGTTACAATTACATGGGTTTGATCATACCACAAGTATGTTGGTAACACTAGAAGAGCTTTGGCACAATAATGATGTAATAGTTCTAAGTTAACCTGGCAAGCCAAGGACGTTCAAATCTTACATCACAACCAACAACAGGGAAGTTGTATTTTGTGCCCTCAGCTTCGCCCATAAGGATTTTGGAAGCTCTTGCAAGAGATGAAATTGCAAGTCCATTCCATGAGACAATTACCTAGCAAGCACCTGTACTGTTAAAGTGCACATACAAGAGAAAAGCTAACAGATTAAGGAATATTTCTGTAGAATCTATGCCTTTTTTTCAAATCAACAATGACAATACCTTATCATCTAGATGTGGCCTTGGTCGTCTGGATCTTACATCAAAAAGCTTTTGCCTGCACTCGCCCAGAATATCAAGATATTTTTCAAGTGGCATGCCATATTTTTTTGCCAGTGCTGGAGTATCAGTTAATTCAATGAGCACATTTTTTCCCTTAAATTCATTGTGTGGATCACTCATCCTAGAAAGGTCGCAGTTCCCCAGAGGCTTTACATAATAGTGGTCCTTGAAAAGAGTTGCATGCTCTCCAAGGATGTCATCAATCTGAAAGAGGAAAATAAGAAAGAAAGAAAAAAAAAAAAGACGAGTATAAAAAATCAGAATTAGTAGAGGTCATACAAGTTAAATAGATCTCCCAACATAAATTCTTTAAGAAAACTCTGTAGAGAATGGATAAAAGTATATACTTCAACCTTTAAAGGACAGAACACTTTTAGGGAATCAGAGTAAGATGCAATAGAAATTCACTGCTCATGCCATAAAATTCTAGGAAAAGGTATACTACCTTGACCTTTAAGCAGGATGATGCAGATATGACTAAAACTACTAGTATCTCAATCCGAGAAGGGGAGATAAGCCTAGTTATATATAATTTTGTTAATAAAAGCGCACATACATGAAACAAGCCTATCAGATTGTTGTAAAAATATACTTTGCAAGATGCAGTTGATACAAGTTCCAAATGTCAGCATCGTTAACATAGAACTTGGGACAAATTGATAGACATGTTTAGCTAGATTTTACAAAATGAGAAATCAAACCAATCAAAATGAAATGAAGGCCAAAATGAGATGATAAGAAACCTCTTTACTGGTCCATATGTAAAAGGCTCCTTCCTTTTTCTTTTTAGGACCTTCATGCTCAGCACTATCAGCATCCTCTGCTGAAAATATTTCACCTTCTGGTCCAATCATGTCTCTCCTCAAATAATCAAGAATATCCCGGGATAGACTTGAATAGAAGACATCATTGGTAATGGAAAAGGCATCCAAGTAAACACTAACAAGTTGGCCTTGATCATACAACATTTTTTCAAAATGAGGAACTGCAAGAAAATACCACGGTTTCAATAATTCCATATACATCAACTACAAAAAATGCAGAAAAGTACAACAGGACGCAAGTAAAAATTAACCAATTCTTGAGGAAATAACTATCTTTTTAAAGAAAAACTGACCATGCCATCTTTCATCCACACTATATCTGTGGAAACCACCTCCAATATGATCATGAATGCCTCCTCTTGCCATGTTTTGCAAGGTAAAGAAAACCATCTGCAGACCTTTCTTTGCTTCACCCAATTTTCCATCATCATCTAACTTTTTCGAATGGTAAAGCATCAATTGGATCTCAACTGGTCTAGGAAACTTTGGGGCAGATCCAAACCCTCCATACTGTGAATCATAGCTTTGAGAAAGCTGCAAGATAGTGAAGTGGAGAATTCAAAAAAGGCAATCAAATGGTGCCTTATTTAGAGTTTTATGTAAACAATGCAATGGTCCTTCACATTCCCTGAATCCTCTTAACTGATCATAATTGTGAAGAAAGCAACAGCAGCAGCAAAGTACAAGATAAATTCTTGTTTTTTAGCCTCTAGAAAAACAAATCAACCTACAAATCCTTGAACGTGGCAACTGGAAAGTTCTAAAAGGGTATTGATGTACATATAAGAGTTTGATGTCCACTTAAGATTATTGTTAACTTCTAATGTTACTTAGTCAAAAAAAAAAAAAAAAAGTAGGTGCTGCAAGACAAAAGTTGATGCAAGAAAGGTCCATCATTTCATGATAAAATAGTGTTTGTGTTAGGATGACAGAAACACTAATTAATTAACAGAATGGATATTGATACAATCTTAAAAAGTTTAAGAAAGTGGCTTTTGGGATAACAGTTGAATAAAAAAAGCTAATAAAGACACCAAGAAGCATCAAATTAATATTTCTATAAAAAGCTAATCTATGTTGCTTGATATGTTACTGAAACACCAAGCAGATAGAGGCAGTGCAATGGACAAGTACATCCCCAGCTGCACTGCCAAACAGAGGCCTAGCATCAACATACTATTAGCTTTTTACGCATAAAACATTCAGTCAACACAACCACCAAATTAAGGAATTCATTAAGTCCTAGCAATGCATTAAAATGAGTCAGAGACGCAAAACTCATTCCTCACAGTTGCGCAATGAGAAGTTCATTTTCGAGTATTATTTCCTTCCAAATTAGATAAAAATGGACTAGCGTGTAGTTTGAAATGAAGTCATACTTGTTCTGCACACAGATGCAATGCATTTTGTGGAAGGTCATCTGGCAATTTCTTTGAACTTGCACTTGCTGACAATGCTTCTGACAGCTGTTCAATAGCAAAGGCTCCACTCTTAATAAGTGTATCCCTCTTACTGAACCAAGCATCCTTTACCTTTCTGAGACAATAGAGAAATAATAGACTGAGCAAAAGCAATTAAATCATAATTCAATGCAAGAATTAATTGTGACAATCTAATGCGTTCATAATTGGTCAAGGAACAGCCATACTGCAGAAAAGGGCAGAGGAAAAAGAAGAGAAAAATTAAACAAGTTCAAGAACAAAAAGTCCCACCTAAGTATGGTCTTAAATCCTGGTCTTCCATACTTATCATCCGGGGGAAAGTAAGTTCCACCCATCAGAGGTTTCAAATCAGGTGAAAGGAAGACACTAAGGGGCCATCCTCCTCCACCATACAAGGCCTGAACAAATGTCATATAGACCTGTAAAAACAGAACCATTTGCTCATTATAATACAGAAACCAACAGACAATCGTGGGACAACATTGAAACTAATTCCCATACGAGCAAACCCAAAAGGAACATAACCGGATTCAAATGTAAAGAGTGTTTTAAAATAGAAAATAACAGATAAATGCTCTCTCTTACACTTTTACGGTCACCTTCTTTCATAAAATAGTATGGTATTATTGGTAGTTAACTTTCCATATAACCAGTTTAGCAGCAGTTTAACAGCACATTTTATCACGTGGTATTTGGAAGCCTCTTTTATCGTAGATAAATCAGCAAACAATGGACACACCAAAGGATAGAGCCAAGAATTATTTCTCTGGAAGGCAATCAAGATAGAGGCTATCTACCTTGTCAACGTCCGGCCGTTCCTCTCGATCCACCTGCGGCAATCTGACATGTTAGAGTGATTAACCGAACGATGACAAGTAGTTTACAAATGACAATTCGGGGGAAAATGGGTAGTGCTAATACAAACTAATGTAAGAACCAAAATTTGAAAATACCTTAATACTGACAAACGAATCATTCAACAATTTCGCAACCTCTTCATCCTCAAAAGACTCCACTTCCATAACATGACACCTTACATACATCAATGGTTTCACACCAAACAATTAATTAGTTGTCATTCGTTAAGTTTTCAATAGGCATTTTGGACAAGAATATGAAAGAGAAATGCCACCGACTCACCAATGGCAAGTGCTGTATCCAACTTCAAAGAGAAACACCAAAGAATTCATCACCAAATAACCAAAAATTAATAACATATTAAACAGCCCTTGTAACAACAACAACAAATGAAAGAATAAAGGACTAATATAATATACTAATAGAAGTAACAAGTAAATACTTGATAAGAAAATGGGAACGTCTCTTCTACGTGCTTCAGCAAATGCTTCTTCCCCCCATGGGTACCAATTGACCTTCAATTCATTTCGACAAAAAAGAAAATCAAGAAATGAGCAAGAAAAATCGATACAAATATATTTGGCTCTTTTTTTTTTTTTTTTCTCTTACAGGGTTATGGGCATGTTGAAGGAGATATGGACTGTGCTCAGCTGCGAGACGATTAGTATGCTTGTGAGAAGACGACGACGAAGCTTGAGCCATGGCCAACACCTTGTGCGTGTGAAAACGACCAACAAAGACAGAGGAACAAGGATAGTTCAGGTGTTTTGTTGCTCTTCTTAGTTGTGATGATAATTTAGTAGTTGTAACGAAAGAGCGACGACTCAGAAGAGAAGAAGAGAGTCGAAATAGTTTATGCATAGAAAAAGAAGAAAGTTTCTTGTTATCAAGAAAGAAGTGTAGAGAAGGTTGTTGGTTGGGTCGCGGTGGGGAAGAGAAAAGACTAAATGCTGCCATATGTATCCCATACATGGCTGTTCGACATGTGGAGTTCCTTCTTTTTCTGACTGACGCTTGTCGTGCTTTACACTCTCACAAGTGGCCTTCCTTTCTTTTCTTCTTTGGATCAGGCAGGCAGCTCCCAACAAGCAGTAGGTTTAGTACATTTGTTCTTTTTGGTAATAATCAACCAATGACAACCAGTAACTTAAAGTCATTCCAATCGTTGTCCGTTCCCCCTTTAAAATCCAACAACTCCTTAACACGTGCGCAATGTTTGGACTTGCAAGTTTAAAAGTGGGAGCTGAGCAGTTGCATGATCCAGATTCAGACACGCAAACAAATGAATCCCTTGGCTTCACCCACAGGGAACCTTCCAATTAGAATTTAGTGTTATGCACGAAATCTTTTCAACTATAAATTTTACTGAGGCTGGCCTAGTGCTTGTTGCCAACAGAGTTAGAGACGGTTATATTCTTCCATGTCGAGAACCTGATTTAAAATTACAGACTAATTCAATATGCATGGCATTGACGGACAACATAATTTCCTACAATCACCTTTGATTATAGTGAAACAAAACTACACATTTTACACTTTACAAATTTAAATAATGGTCTATGTAACATGTAACCTAGACCGAAAGTTCACGCATCCTAAATGCAAATAAATTTGCTCGGTGTGTAAATAAAAACAACCAGGTTTTCAAAAGGTGGTATACATGAACGCAACATCCAAGTGGCACCAGATATTGATCCTCCATATGCTCAACAGCATTTCTTCTCAAGGGTTCCGCTACTTACAGATCAAGCTTCACCATCATATTCTGACAAAATGCTGCAAATCAAACAGCTGGTGCACCTACAGACTCCGCAAGTTCTTCCAGGAGCTCCTTCTGCTCCATTGCAGAACAAGCCTGCAAGAAGCAAACATTTCCGAGGCTGACAAATTGATGTAATGTTCTTCTTATATTTAGAACCATATATGTTTAATTATTAAACCATATTAAAAGGAAACAGAGAAAAGAAAAATACTGCAAGAAAAAAATACCTGAACAGCATTCTCTATATCGCCATCAAGAAAAGATGTGAGCTCATAGTTCACCTTTAACCGGTGATCAGTGACCCTATTATCCTAATGAAATAACATATAGATGCGTTATAACCTTCCATTAATTTTTTGTTTTGAAGACTCAAACTTGTCTCAATACCAAACAACATCAATGAAGCCAACTAGACACATTAGCAGCTTTTAATTAACCAATCAGTTTCTTGTTAACTGCACCAAGTGACTCTGAATATGACAGTGATTCTCACCTCTTCATGTTACATTACCAATCAATTATAAGGTCTTCTCATTTTTCTTCTTACAAAGCTTTGAAGCATTTATCACATCTTGGCCAATTTACAACCCATCATTGATACCATTTAACTCAAACTGTTTATAATCATAAAGAGATCTCGTCTTTTCAAAAAGCACAATTGTTATCATATTAAGCTCAAAGTAGAATAGCAAAAGCAATAAGCATACCTTGTAGTTGTATGTTCGAATCTTTTCTGCACGAGCACCTGTACCAACCTGCAATTTGGAAATATAACAGAGGATGCTTGCTTTAAGGGCCTTCATGCATAGATGCTTTCATAATGAATAACTAAAAGAACAATCGTCATTAGTGTTCTTTCCTCCCATTATAGATACTTTTGCATGCATATTATATGACCTGGAAGCAAGAAATACCTGAATTTTTCGCTGATTCCTTATTGATTCTTGCTGTTCCCTGACCTTTATCTCATACCTGTCACAAGGTTGATGGATTATTTTAAATTTACCAGAAAAGAAACAACAAATGCAACTCAAGGGGTTAAGTCCATGTCTCAGTCTACCAACAAACAAATATAAATATAAGGTGTACAAGAAAAGTATAAGCGTTGAACAAAGTGATAGAATCAATGATTTAATGCAGCTAGCTCCTACATGTAAACCCCTCATGGAAGTTTAATCATTTGCCTCTGGCGAAAAAGTTGAAGAAATGAAGCATGGATGAGTAAGAAAGCTTAATGTGTGAAACGAAAACAATTTGAACTTGCAGAATAAACAGTCATATTTTGGGTACTTAACACTCACAGTTTTGCTCGCAGAAGTTGGAGAGCGCGATTCTTATTCTTAAGTTGTGTCCTTTCCTCAGTACAAAAGATGCGGATTCCCGTTGGTTTGTGAAAAAGATCAACAGCTGTCTCCACCTTGTTTACATTTTGCCCTGAGGACAATCATGAATGAAAGATGTTTAGAGAGATGCCTCTTTCCTTTTTATCTGATGTATAAGTGGAGGAAGGGAGAGAAAGAGAAAGCCATGGAGAACTAAAGCTGAAACATTAGCTCAAGCTTTCCTGTTACATACCTCCAGCACCTCCAGATCTTGCTGTTGTGAGTTCATAGTCTTTTGGGTCAATCACCACCTCAACTTCATCAACCTAATTACATAAAGCATAAGCACAAAGAATAATCATGCTGATTAAGGAGAGGATATAAATGCTGACATGAAGTTTACAAGCACGGTGACATATTGAGCAAATAATTTGGCAAAAAATAAACCACACTCAGTAAATATGTAACCAGTTCCATGTTTTACTTCCACACGACGACCTTGTTAAAACAAATTCAGGATTTATGTGAGCAATCTGCAACATTGCTCCAAGCTTTGCCAATGCCACATATATATATATATATATATATATATATTGTTAAGCATATCCTTTCCAATCCTAGATTTAGTAGAGCGACGAATGCTCTGTCTTTGAAAAGTAACGTACCTCAGGCATGATGGCTACAGTTGCAGTAGAAGTGTGCACACGTCCCTGTGCTTCTGTTTGAGGAACACGTTGAACTCGATGAACACCAGACTCGTATTTTAATTTACTGTAGACATGATTTCCTTTGACCTCCATCACAAAGGTTTTGTATCCACCTTTCCCAGTCTTAAAAGGGTAGAGTTTTTCCAGTCAAAAAAAAAAAAAGGTTGCATGTTTTAGCTGATACATAAGTAACACTAATACCTACCTCAGAACTTGAAATGACAGAGACCTTCCAAGAGTTCCGCTCACTGTATCTCTGATACATACGGACCTTAGGATTGAACAAAATGTGAAGTAGCATAAGGGTGTGCGAAAATGTTTCAAATCAATTGGAAGATGAAACATAAAAGAAGATAACAGAGTGCCAGTACATGGAAGGAACAGCAATCCCTTAATAATAAAATTTGATCCTAAAACGATATCCGCAACCACATTATTAGCAGGGTTACTCAAAAGTTTTGGTATTGTTAGAAAGAAAAGAACACATAGTCCCTGAATACCAAGATTATTGCTCCTTCTATAAAGACAACAGGCAATATAATTTTATTTCTTCATACTTTTTCCAGAAAGCCTAGCAATCTTTGTCCCATATTCACACCCAAAATTTTTATTCTAGTATGCTTTCCATCATTTTCTGGTTTAGAAACTTTTACATATATAGCTTGAAATAAAGACAAAATAAATTTGGAAGGATGAGAGACGCATGTACCTACAAGATCACCTGCCCATAGTCCAGCCTCATCGCCACCAGTACCTGCCCTAACTGCAAATGAAGAAAAAAGTAGATCTATAGCGTGAGTTTAACAGAGAAAGTTGTAGAGAATATGCACCAGAAATTGAGCACATGGAACTATGTCATGCACAGAGAGTAAGCAAAGCAAGTAGGCCATAGCATAAACAGAATAACTCCAGTATATTAGATAAAATAAAAGATGATATACAACGAATACAGTTTTCATCAACATCCAAAAGTACATTCCAGAAGAAGAAAAATAATCCGAGATGTCGGTCATTATAGCTTAAAGAAACAACCAGACAGTGCATTGTATTTGACTGAAAAAGAGAATATGCATTGTATTTGACTGAAAAAGAGAATATACATATATACCTTCAAGCAATATATTCCTTGCATCAAGAGGATCGCTAGGAAGCAGTAATACCTATCAACACGAGATGCAATTTCAAAATTAAGACCCTAAACTCCAAAGCAAAATAAAAGTCCAGATAAAATAACAGAAAACAACAACAGGGTTAACACAGAAAAGAATAATTCGATGGAAAGAATGAGACGAGCATGGCAGTTCTCCTGCAACTGCAAGACTCAACATCAGTAATGCAACTAAATGGGCAATTCTACAGAAGGTTTCAAATTGAAATCACAGTGGCAATTTTGGTCCAAGCTGTCAAGATCGAAATAGGATAAGCAGAACATTACTTCAAATCAAGGAAGATGAGCATCATGATATCTGGGCAAGCAAACAATTAAAAGAACTTATCTAAAAGACAGGTAATTGAATATGATAATGACAACATAGGAAAGTATAAAAAGAGGGGAAAAGAAAAACCTTAAGCTTCTCTTCGAGCTCTTTGAGTTCCTTGGATAATGACTCAATTTCATATGCTATCATCTCTGCCATGTCTTCATCATTTCCATCGTCTTTCGCTATAGCTGTCACACATAATTATTCCAAACCTTCTTCAATCATCTATTCCTTCTCTTTTTTTTTTTTTTTGCATAATAATAATAAACTAACAGAAAGAAAGTCGAAACCTTTGGTATCTTCTAGCATTTTTCCACAATCCTTGAATCTCCTAAAAGTTGAAATCACCTATTTCTCCAAATACAATACAAGATCATATCATAACTGAGCATAGATTATGGAGTAATAATTATAAAAAATAAATAAAACGGACAAATGGGATATACCTCATCAAGCTCTGCCACGGATTGAGCCACCTTTTGATATTCACTGGGATTTGAAACCACATCTGGGTCCGCCAGCTTCACCTACACAATCACAATTTTTTTTTAAAAAAAAAACCTTCCCCCTGTTAAAAATGAAACTATATATTTTTTTTAAAGGTAAATTTACTTACGGATAATTCTTTCCAAGTCTTCTCAGCAGATTCCAGCTTGGTTATCAAATATGGCTCCTGTATCATTATCAAACAGTAAATAAGTATATCCACTTTTAATTACAAAGCCTCAGTCAAGTGCTTATTCATTTTTAACGCACCGCCATGCAAACGATTCTTGGAGTACTGTTGCGAGATGGTCTAGATAAGAAGACACGACCGGGGGTTGCTTGACATTGGCGAAAATGGTGAGAGTGTGGTATCATCGGGGACATTCGAGCTGTTAAGCTCGTCGCTGCTGAGCTATTATTCATGGTTCTTCTTGAATTAGAAGATTTTTCTGTTCTTTCCAGGACCTGATGGAGTGACGCTTGGACGGGGAATGGAGCTAGGGGGAACCGATAAGAGTTTCTGTTTGGGTGATGTGGGTTAGGTTATCACCGAGTTCTTCCTGTGTTTTCCCACACCCGGTTGGGTTGTTTTACTGGACGTCGTTTTTTCTTTTCTTTTTTTTTTATAAAAAAAGACGGTAATGTTAATTTTAAGAGAAAGAAGCACATATATAAAGATAAAAGAAGAAATCATATTGAGATCAGATAAAATCATATTTGTATTTATAAAAAATAATAAAAATATCCTGCTTAAAATATATTTTTTTATGTTTTTCTATTTTATTTGTATTTATCTTTTTCATATAGAGTAAGTATTAATGAGTATTTTTTGATTTTTTTTTCTTATTCCACCTTTTAGGTTATATTTTCCTTTTTGGATATTTTATATTTGAGTTAATGCTTGCTCTTGATTTTGTTTTCAAAAATTACTTTTACTATTTTAATTTTAATTTTAAGCATATGTGTTATGTATTTTTTATTGTTACATGTTTTTATTGTCTACTGAGAAATGGTGTCAAATCTAGTAGATCATGCCATTTTTCTTAACATTCAATAAAAATAACGTATTGACTAAATTTACTTAATTAAAATTTTAAAACCTAAAAACAAGGGTAAAAGGGAAATTATAAGAACTAAAATTATAGTCTAACAATTTTGGGGCTAGGAAGGGGAGGAAAACATATCATAATGCTCCGCCATTTTATATAAGAGTAAATTATAAATTAGCCTATTTAGTTTTACAAAAAGAATTCAATAGTTTTTTGAGTTTTAAAAATTAATTAATTAGTCTATTTATCAATATTGATTATGCTTAATTTAATTTTTTTATGTTTTTTTTTTCATCAATATTTCCATATCATCTATTTATTTATTATATTTTTATTTCTTAAAAAATAGAAAATAACTTGAATTGAAAAAAAGTAATTAATTAGTTTTTAAAACTAAAATATCTAATTTATAATTTACTATTTCACATAAAGAAAAGGGGGAATTACAAGAAGGAAAAAAAATGGCCAGGAGTTAAACGGATTTTTGGGTCGAAAAAGAGCTAAAGTGTTAAAGTTTGCTCTCTCCTCCTTCCGTCTCCGCGATTCCCTCCTCTTTGTGGTATCTCTTCTATGATCAAACACACACGAAATGGAATATTGTTATTTAAAAATCAAAATTGAGGATTGAAACGTAAATGCACATTGTGACAACCTTAAAAAAAATACAAATGGATATAGATAAACAGTTGTATACACAATAGGTTTCTTTAATGAGACAAACTTGTGTCTTATTTACTTTAGTTTATTTGATTATTATATAAAAGAAGAGAGTTGCCTCATTATAAAATCCAAAATCCAATGGACCTCCCATTGAACTGGTAGGCATAATTTAACGATTATCTACACGTTTTTTTTTTTTTAAATTCAAGTCTCATTAAATTCAATTTATTTGATTATTATGTAATGAAAAAGGTTGCTCCCCTTTTGTAACTCAAAATCAAAAAGACCTCCTGGTGAATAAAAAAAAAAAACTAAAAATTGACAATGTTAATTTGTATCTCTAAATGCACAGTTAATTCTTATTGATTCTATGATAAGCTTTAGTTATTTTTATTAATTAATATGTATTTGAAACGTTCAAACTAACTGCAGTTAAAGAATTTTATTGGATGCTAGGATGTTAGTTAAAGCATTTGTGTATAAGTATGGGTCACACGGTGCTTTTTTTGTTCTTCCTCTAATAGCATCTTAAGACGCTAATAGGATTTGATATGAATGTGAAGTTACGATGATAGAATTCCTTTAGGATTATAAATATTATTTAAACTTTATTAATGTTTATTATATTATGGTTTATTTATATTAATTATGTTGTTATTGCTTCTGTATCAATAGTTTGTTATTGCAAGTTGTCTTCTTGAGTAGTTGAGCTTCGAGCGAGTGTTTGTGCTACCCATCATGTGAAGCAACTATAATATGTGTTTTGCTCATTGCTTTTTGTTCTTGTTTCCTATTCAATGTTGGAACGTTCTCATCTTTTCGTTACAATTTTATCTTGATTGTTTATGCTATGATTAGTATTAAAAAAAGATGATTTTTTTATTTTTGTTATAGGCATTGTTGTTTACTTGTTGCACTCATTAATGTGTTTTTTTTCTTAAGGAAGATATTGCTTTGATTATTTTTTTGGTTGGCTAACGCTATTTGAGATTAAGTTCTTATTGGATAATTTTAAAAACGCATCCAGACATGGGACAACTAGCTAATGATTTCACGAATTACGTTGACAGACAAAAACTCAAGAAGACAATTTAGAAGGAAAAATACATACTACTCAGTTAATAAGCCATAACTTTTGATTTGAGTGTTCAATTGATGTAAATTATATAAATTTGAAAAAGCTTATCTAAAGAGGCTCACAACATGACAAATGAGCAAAGGTCTGTCGAGGTCAAAATCCATTTTAAATATATACTATCAAGTTTTTTTATGATTTGAATATGGAAAATTAGTCCAAATTGCTTTAGTTGAAAAAATTAAGAGTTTATGCTTTATTTATTTTTATGATTTTCTTATTTCTAGTATTGATTATGTAGTTTTAAAATATTCTGCTCTTATTGCCATGGAATTCAAGAAACAGGAATCCACACCTTACATGATTGTTCTGTAGCATCTAAGCTTTGGTAGGAGGTCGGGGAAAACAGGTATGATTGATGGTTTCTTTACAATGGATCTTAAGGACTGGGTATGGTTTAATCTGAAACTAACCAAGTCGACATATATTAGATTAAACTCTTAGGGTACATGATATGGAGTGTGTTGTTGATTTTTATGGACTTGGCAGAATAAGAGCATTTTTTATGATGTTTTTATCATGCCTAATAGTCCGTTGGTGGTTATTCATGCTTTTATTGAAAATGTTGTGGCTAGTATGAACATGATTGCCCTCTTATCTAGGCCATCTCCTCTAAAAGTAGAAGCCCTGATTGGCTGGATCAGACCTCCTTCAGGTTAGGCTAAACTTAACACAGATGGAGCTTTGAGAGAGTTAGGTGGTATTGCTACAGCTAGCGGTGTCCTTTGGGATGCACAAGGTATTTGGTTACATGACTTTTCTTATCAAATTAGGATATGTTCAGTATTGTGTACAGAACTATGGGGCATACTTATTGGTTTGAAAATGACATGGAATTCGGGCTTTCAACGAATTTTGTTGGAATTTGACTCCTTGGTAGTAGTACAATTAATTTAGGATCCAATTGGTCATCGAGAAAACTACAAACAACTAGTCTCCTCTATCTGCAGAATCCTTCAGAGGCCTTGGCAAGTTCGTATCGTTAACACTTATTGGGAAGTTAACTGTTTGGCAGATTGACTTGCTTCACATGCTTACTCTCTAACAAGAAGTTCTTATTCTCTTATGAGAGGAATTTTGTATTTTGAGCATGCCCAATTAAGGTGTGTATTAGCCTCATTTTAGAGGATATCTGTGGTGTAGTCTTTCCAAGACTTTGTAATTCTCATCCTAATGCTCAAAGCTTTTCACTCATTTGTATAAAAAAAAAAAAAATTATTTTTTAGTTTAACTTTTGGTCAATTAGGGCAGGCTATTTACACTGTTTGTAGGCTTTTGACCACCAACATTGTATTATTAAAATTTTTTCAAGAATTGTGAGATTTTTTTTTACGATCAATTGAGTTTTTTAGCACTAAATAACTTTATATCTTTTTTTTATTATACGCTGCATCCCATATTCAAAATAGATCTGGTGCATTCAAAGAAATTTTATAAATTTCTCAAAATGCTAACTTGAAAATTAAATACAAAAAGTCAAAAAAGATAATAAATATTTTTAACGATTGGACCAATCTTTTAGAGTTGCTTCGGTTTTTTTTTTTTGCCCCCTAATTGAAGAGATGATCAATTTTTTGGATAAAATTTTTAAATCCCGTACTTGTTATTCTCATTAGAATAAAGATCACAATCCTATTTATAATTTATTTTTAAAAATGAAATTTATAAATACAACGGTCATATAAGAAGTCTAGCCCATTAGCTTGTCATTATTAAATTTTTTAAAAACAAAAACCCGAAGTGATTATGCTGTATTACCACGTGCCGGGTATATTTTAGCCGAATGAAGTGATTATGCATGTATTAAATTTCTTGTTGCCATTATTCAATTTTAAATAAACGGAAAAAAAATATAAAGAAAGAGAAATAATTAATTCTTTGTAGTACACTAAACTTCAAGAGATTGAGGTAGTGGTTAAGATGTTTATTTTATTTTATTTTATTTTTGTTTTTTTATATTTAAATATGGGTGTTAGCATCCAAAAAATATATATTAAAATTTTTTTTAACGTACTAGACGGATATAAAAAATAAATGTATCTTTGAAATTACTTGATAAACAATTTAATCTTAGTTGGTGCTTAAATTGATTAAAAAAAAATCCTTACCGTTCAAAAAGAAAAAAAAATCTTTATAGGGTAGTCCACATAAAAGCAACATTTATTTTAATGCGACGCTCTCTAGAAGTATCCAGTCCATTTCTAAGAAGAGCCCATTGAAACGAGGCCCACGTGTAGCCCTGATCCTAGAAATTCCGCTTTGTTGTCTCTTAACGCTTGTTGAACAAAAAGTACAAGATCTCAAAAGATATTGTGGGAGTTATCCTGGCTCATTGCCTAGAAGTCTCTTTTTCCCTCTTTTCTGTATCTAATACTGATAATTATTAAGTTGAGAGGTTAGTGGTTAAGGGACAATTTCAGGTCTATTTATGCTGTTTATTGCTATTGATCGGACAATAATTCGATAGTGTTGACAAATCAACCCTTGTGGCTCATAAAGGCTTCCTGCTACCTGCAACGCAGTACCGCATACATGGGATCATGTCTTTCACAGGATTAAAAATGGTGGGCTCACATGTT